TAGATAGAAGCCTAAAATTCGCCAGGGTAATTTGGCTGTACGCTAATTCACTTGTTTCAGAATTTGAGGTTTCTAGCCATGGCATTGGGGTCAAATAAGGTCAAACAATGTCAAATCCAGATTGGTGTCTCAAGTGCCCCCAGACCTCCTCATGCAACCATCGCCAAGCTAGATGCCCTGTTTAGACAAAAGGTCAACGATATTAGTGACCTTAATCGACATTCACAACGTCAAAGTGACGAAATATCTGCCAGATTGCTCCTATTTTCCCTTCGAATAAGCGTCAGGGATTACTCTAGGTGGCATGTCCCTGAAACACAATGTTGACCTAGGTCATTTGAGGTCAGTGACCTGCTCTGAACTTTAAAAGTCCATGGAAGCTGTCTGCCACGGTCCTCATCATATTTAACTCCAAATAAGCACCAGAAACTATCCTTTAAAACCAAGTTCTCCAGAAAAAACAGGTTAGTTTTGGCCTCACACTGACCATCATTCCACACCCTAATATGGAATTGGTTGTAATTCTAAATTTAATCGTGTTATTGCCTTAGAATCTATTTCGCTAGGTGTGAGCCCGTCTTCACTTCGTTGTTGCATTTACGTTGACAACTTCCTAGAAATGCCCTTCGCTGATAGCAATGGGCTTGACTGACCTGCCATAGGTCAGTAGCCTTACAAGGTACATTTAACGTTTTTAGAGCAAAAGATCTGCTATTAAATTATCTACATCATCGCAAATTTTGGCGCCTCTACCGTGCGCTTCGGTAATTATTCTGGAAACCATCAGTAAGCATCTGAAACCCCCAGGCGAGCGTGTGTTAACACGCGCCCGGGTGGCCGGCTAGATACCTTTCGCTCTTCGCTCGGGTGGGGGGGGGGGGGCAATTTGACCCCCGCCTGAGATCTCGGGAACTAAAAAGCTAGAAACACCAAACTTACAGGGTTTGTTGACCTGTACGTGTACTCACTTAGGTCAAAGTTTCAGGTTCATAGGTCATGACTTTCGGGTAAAAAATGCCGAACAAGGTCAAGTTCCAGGTTGGTTTCCAAAGCGCCCTCAGAACCTGGATAACCGTTCCTAAACAAAAGGTCACATACTCATTCAAGATCAGTGACCTTGTTTGACCTTTTGAAGGTCGAGGTGACCAAAATCATAGAAGACTGCTCTGAGTTTTGCATTTGACTAAGCGACAACGATTACGCTAGGCAGCATGTTCCTAAAAACAATATGTTGACCTGGGTCATTGTAGGTCAATGACCTATTCTGACCTTTAAAAAGTCCATGGAAGATGTACGATGGGGTTCCTGCTATCAATAAATTTGAAACGAGCACCAGAAGTCATTCCTTACGGCAAGCCCCAGAGCAACAAAACAGGTTGGTTTTGATCTTGGTGTGACCTTCATACCTGGCCTTAGGTCAATTAAACTTGGCCACTCCACTGTTGTGTTGCATAAGACAGTATTTCAGAGATGTATGGCTTCGTCTAACACTCCATTGTTGAATCAGATTAAAGAATTCCCTAGAAATTGCCTTCTCTGAAACCATGCCCTGACTTTGGCCTGCGATAGGCCAGCAACCTTACAAGGTACATCTAAATTGTTGATGCCAAACAATTTGCTATTCAAATATTTATAGCTACGCAATATTTCGCGCGGCTAGGGCGCGCCGTTCGGAACCATTCCGGAAAAACCTTTGGAGGGGGGGACAGTTGGATCCCCACCCGAGCTTGTGTTAAGAATGGTATTATGACCGACATTTCAGGGCTCTCAGTGCATGTTGCGCACAGCTTTTTGATGGAGATCCCGCGCCCGCCGTTGATATTGCTTATAAACCAGGAAAAACCGATCCAGACCGGAATCGAACGGGAATCGAACCACAGCCCCACCCCATGCGCAAGTCCCTCGCCATCCGACAGAGCTATTAAGCCCCCGGGGTTTGGTTGATCCGCATGGTTTTAATGTGTGATACCCGTCACCAGGGTATTCCGTAACTGAGGATCCTGTTGGTGCATGTTATTGCCTTATTCTCCATACAAGGTCATCGAGATGGCCTTACATTTTTCCCGGTG